GCATGGCTTCCAGGCCTAAGAGGCGAGCGCTAGGCAACGGGGTCCCGGGGCCGCCCGGCGCCCCAGCCCCGCGCGACGAGGAGGAAGAGGAAGTCGAGGAGGAGGAAGAGGATGAAGAGGAGGCCAGCGACAGTGACGATGACGACGTCGTGGGCGAGGTGAGCGGCACCCGCTCCTCCAGTTTGTGGACATCCGGGAAGAGACCGGCCGTCCGAGCCACGTGGCCGCGCCTCGGAAGAGCGCTTCCGGCCCCTGTGGACGGCTGGTTGAGGTTTGGGTGAAAGTGGAGGGCGCCCGTTCGCGTCCGTGTGTCTGGTGACGTAGCTCGCGGCCCCGCCCCCCCTGGGCGCCCGGCGCCACCCGCCCCTGCTCCCGGCCGCTTCCTGCCTCCGGAACTCTGCCGGGCGCCGTGGTCGATTGTTCGGAAGTTCACGGACGGGGCGGGGTGCTGTGGACTATAAGCCTGTGCTTGGTTTGGGTTGAGTTGGAGGTTGGCTAAGGGCCACACACAGCCCCGGGGTGCCCAGCTTCTGGCATTGCCTGTCGTCCGAGGGGGCAGCCAGGGTGTGACCCGTGTAGGCAGAATTGTCCACCACGGTGCAATGAGGTGCATCCTGCAGGTGTACCAGCGGGGCTGCTCTCGAGGCCGCCGGACAGGTGGGAGCAGGTGCTGGGCAGTGTGCCCATCTAGCGGCCACTAGGTGGGTGCCATTGCCACCGGTGATGTGAGCACATGGAAAAGCAACAGGAAAGGGATTTAATTGTTTCCCAGGAGTAAGTTCAAGGCCCCAACAATGGCAGTTTGTGATCTGTTTGGGGCCATCTTCCCCCTTGCTTCAGCTTGCTGGTCTGGTGAGCTGACTTCAGCCAGGACTTGCTATTTCACACCTGCCTGGGTTAGTCTGGGTAGACTAGCAGGGGTCCTCAAACTTTTTAAACAGGGGGCCAGTTCACTGTCCCTCAGACCCGTTGGAGGGCCAGACTATAGTTTAAAAAAAAACAAAAAACGATGAACAAATTCCTGCACATGTCTTATTTTGAAGAAAAAAAAAGTGGGAGGCAAAAACACCCGGCAGGCCGGATAAATGTCCTCAGCGGGCCGCATGTGGCCCACAGGCCGCAGTTTGAGGACCCCTGGACTAGAGAAACAAATTCATAGACATGTGTGTGTATAAGAACTTTAGATAAAGAGTAATTGTACATTAAGAAAATATCCCAGCCTAGTCCAGTTCAAGTCCATAAGTCCAATATTAGCCCGTATGTCTGATACCAATCTGTAAATTCCTCTTCAGACTCACAAAACACATGCAATGGCACCAAATGCAGGAAGATCATAGGCCAGTGGATTGGAGGTCAGCGCTGGCAGGGGTCTCCATGTGGCTCCTCCAGCTCAGGACACTAGCCTAGCTCCATGTGTCTTGTCAGATACACTGTCTACCAGGGAGTGAGCCCGTGTCCTGCCTCCAGCGAGCTATTTATCTCCTTTGTGCCTCCAAATGAGGTCATCAAGCTG